ATGTACTTTTCCATGGCTGTCTTCTCGGGGCGTGTCAGGTTGTAGAGGCGGCTTGAAGGTAGGGTGGAACCCGGTAACAGGTCTATGGCACAGTTGTAAGGTCTGTGCGGGGGTAGTGATTGAGCTTTGTCTTTGTTAAAAACCTCCCTTAAGTCATGGTATACCAAAGGTATAACAGAAAGGTCTATGTTGGCGCTTTCGTCATGTGCGAGCTCGACAATGGCAGACGGCGGGGCTGAGACGAGACAATTGGCATGGCAAAATGGGCTGCAAATTATAACTTTCTGCCCTGCCCAGTGCAGATGAGGGTTATGTAGTTTTAGCCAGGTGAAACCAAGGATAACGGGAGTGCTGGGGGAGTGGAATGTCAAGAAGGGGAGTCTGTCCCTATGGTTGCCTGAGGTGACTATAGTAATAGGTGCGGTGCAGTGAGTGATGTGAGAGAAAACTTGGTTTACTAGTGCTTTAACTGGGATGCTAGAGTCCAACTCAAAAAGGGGAATATTCAGCTGCTTGGCTAATTCTTTATCAATGAGGCTTTGCTTGGCGCCTGAATCGACTAATGCCTGGGACGTGTGGGTCGCAGAACCGAGCAAGAGCGTAACCGGCAACAAAAACGGGGCTTAGAATCAATATTGGTACCACCCACCCGTATCCCCGGACCTACCGGTGGGCGCCCCCTTTTCCTTTCTTGGGACAGGTGGAAATAAAATGCTCAGCGGAGCCACAATAAAAACACGAGCGAGAGCGACAACGCCTCTCCCTCTCTTGCGGGGACAACCGGGATCACCCGATCTGCATGGGTTCTGGTTCCGATTCAGTCCTCTCCACGGCGACTGTGGCCGAAGGCTGAACCGGAAGCGGCGATGGGGAAATGAAAACCGGGGACACACGCCGCACTGGCTGACGGGTACTGGAGTTCCTCTCTCGCTCCCGCAGTCTGTTGTCAATGCGAAGCGTGAGCGAGGCTAACTCCTCGAAAGTGACAGGTTCGTCTCGGGACGCTAGCTGATCCTTCATGTGCTCGTTCAGCGACTGCAAATAGACTCCCTGAAGGGCCTTATCGGGCCAGCCGACTGCCGCCGCGGCAGTGCGGAAGTCAATCAAATAATCTGCGATGCTACGGCAGCCCTGACGGAGATTTAACAGCCGCCGAACCGCACTGCCCACCGAGATAGGGTGAGCAAAAGTCTTCTTGAACTCGCCAAGAAAGGCATCATAGCTACAAGACGGCAACGGGTGTACGCTCAGGTATGCCTCGGCCCAATTTAGGGCTTGGTCGCGTAGTTTACCTATTACCGTATTTCCACAACTATAAGGCGCACATAAAAGCCTTAGATTTTCTTTAAAAAGTGCGGCGCGCCCTGTAGTGCAGTGCGCCCTGTGTGTTGTAAGGAGGACGTAGTAGAGAACACCATGAGAACGCTAAAGGGTGAAGTGTGGGCGTTGATCGTATATACCGGGACAATCGCACATACCTGTCTAGAAGGACAGGTATGTGCATTATGCGGAACATCGTTGTTTTAACAACCCTGAAAATGGCAAAGAGACACGCTTATGAAGCACAGTTTAAACTGAAGGCCATCAGCTACGCGGAGGAACATGGAAATCGAGCAGCCGCGAGAGAATTCAAGATTAATGAATCAATGGTTTGCAAGTGGAGGAAGCTGGAAAACAAGCTCCGACAGGTCAAGAAGACGCAGCTGAGTTTCCGCGGACATAAGGCGAGGTGGCCCGAGTTGGAGGAAAGACTCGAGCAGTGGATCATCGAGCAAAGAATGAGTGGGAGAAGCGTTTCGACGGTCACCATTCGACTAAAAGCAGTTTCGCTAGCAGAAGAAATGAAAATTGAACATTTCCGAGGAGGTCCGTCTTGGTGCTTTCGTTTCATGAAACGGTGCCATTTTTCCATCCGGACCAGGACTACGGTAGCGCAGCAACTTCCAGCGGATTATAATGAAAAGCTGGCCATCTTCCGCTCCTACTGCAGCAAACACATCGCCGACAAACACATCCAGCCCAGCCACATCACTAACATGGACGAGGTGCCGCTCACTTTCGACATCCCGGTGAGTCACACTGTGGAGAAGAAGGGGACCAGCACGGTAGCGATACGCACAACGGGGCACGAAAAGTCTTCTTTTACTGTTGTGCTTGGCTGCCATGCTAATGGACAGAAACTGCCGCCTATGGTGATTTTTAAGAGAAAGACTTTGCCTAAAGAGAAGTTTCCAGCAGGAATCATCAAGGCAAATGAAAAGGGCTGGATGGATGACAAAATGATGAAAGACTGGCTGAGGGAGGTGTATGTAAGGAGACCAGGTGGTTTTTTTCCACGCATCACCATCGCTGTTGATCTGTGACTCTATGCGTGCCCATCTCACAGCCGATGTGAAAAAACAAGTGAAACAAATGAACTGTGAGCTTGCTGTCATTCCGGGAGGCCTGACAAAGGAACTCCAACCGCTGGACATCGATGTGAACCGGCCGTTCAAAGTAAGGCTGCGAGCGGCGTGGGAGCGATGGATGACCGATGGAGACCACAGTTTCACTAAGAGTGGAAGGCAGCGCCGGGCGAGTTACGCCACAATTTGCGAATGGATTGTAGATGCTTGGGCTAACATGTCTGCATAAAAATGTGAGTACCTAACTCAGTTTTGCTCCCGCTTCATTTTTAAATACGCACACTTGTATGCTGATGATGATGACGATTACCGGTAATAAAAATGTGAGTACCAAACTCAGTTTTGCTCCCGCTTTATTTTTAAACACTGATACTTGTATGCGCCCTATAATCAGGTGCGCCTTATGTGTGTGTTAAATACAGTAATGGCACACATAACTGAGACTGCGCCTTTTAGTACGGTGCGTCTTATGGTTGTGAAAATACGGTATATAGGAAACTCGAACTGTGTCTAAAACGAAAGAGCGGGGCGAACGCCCGAACGCCAGCTCACACTGTAAAAGAAAACCGCTACAGGCCCCCGGGTCACCTGCGCACGGCTCCGGCTCCGGGGAAGCTGCGTCGCGGAACAGGTAAGCTCGCTGGGGCTCGGGATCTGCCACGGGCTGAGGTGAACTACTGGCGGCGGGTTCTGACTCCGCCGAGGGTTGAAGGGACTGGATGTCGGATTGCATTTTAACCTGCTCGTCTGTAAGCGTGTGTACTTGGGCTAGGAGATACTGCAGCGTCTGTTCGTGACTACCGATGATAGCCCCCTGCTTACTTATCGCTACACGGGTTGGGTCTGCTGTGTCCATAAAACTGTCCTGAGTATACTGTCACGGCCGAACGGCGCGAGGTAACAGAGATGGACACAAGTGCAGAAACCAAACCGGAAGCGAGACGATAAGTGAACAGAAGGTTTATTTCCCCCCACAGTTAAACACCAGCAAAACAACACGACGCCACCACACTAGAGGCGCGCAGAAAAACTAAGTTAACTAAGGGTGACCTAGACAACTCTAGGGTGCAGCTGAACAGCTGAGGCAGTGGAGAGGTGGAAACTGGGCTATGAAGTGGCCGGGGCACTGTAATGAGAGGAGAGGGCACAGTCAACGGGATCCAGCAGACAATCGGCGATCCTGGTGGATGAGGTGGAGGCGAGACCTCCACTCCAGGAGCTACCTCTGAGGACAAGAAAAACAGGTAAGTCGTCACACGGGTTCTGGACAAAGCAATCACACTCCACTTGACTAACATGGGGATTGCAGATACTCAGACGATGAACGGTTGAGTGCGCAGGTCTTATATGCTGCCGGAATAATTGCCCACAGGTGGTCAGCCAGGGAGGAGCAACCAATCTCTGCCTAAAGGAGGAGGAGCCGCTGTTGGAGACCTGCAGGTACCTACCCAGACCATGACAAATCTGAACCCATCTTATCTTAAAGGCCTCATGGTACCATATCATAGAATGGGAGTGGGTGACCTTGATATCCACCCTTAAAAGGCCTGGGCTGCTGGGGGGGTTCCTGAGATGCACTATTTCTTTTCCTCATCTTTTTTTGACTGACTGTTTATACACAACTTTGCATTTAATCATTGGTTATTATTAGTCTCTGGCTTGCTTCTACAGTCTGGTTTTGTCTATTGTTCCTCTGCTCACCTCCAGCCAGTCGCAGCAGATGGCTGACCTTCCCTTCTGTCTGAGGATTTTTTCCTGTTAAAAGGGAGTTTTTCCTTCCCACTTCCCACTAATGGTGTATCACTTCAGCCTAGTGAAAGAACTACTGCTTCGAAGATGCCTACCTGTTCATCAGAGGTTTCACGCTTGAGCTTGTTGGAGGCATTTGCTGTCCCAGAATATCCAGGGTGTGGCTCACCCTGGATATTCTGTCTCTGCACATCTCACCGCCTGCAGAGACTGCTCCCCAACTGCAGCAATCGATACTGTCTCTCCACATTCCTCCACAAATGTGAGTGAAATTGACTTGGGCCCAACTTTAACCCAGCTTTACTTTGTTTTTTGAAAGGTTCCAGCAATAAAGATGACTTTTGAGTTTAGTTCTGCATCCAAGTCCTGCATTAGGGCCCATACACTGCCTGCCACACAGAGTCATTGTGACAAGTAGTGCAACAGCATTGCTACATAGAGCAAGAGTCCAGGTTTTAAACTGTTCTGGCAGTTCAGACCTCTCACTTTGTAACATATTGGCACAGTATAAATTTTGAATTATTGAAAAATGCTGAACATTTAAAAACCTATATCAAACAACAAAGGAAAAAAGCAACATGTGAAACTACCTCCCACCACCCACCCAGCTCACCCCCACTGATAACACACACACACACACACACACACACACACACACACACACACACACACACACCAGCTATCAAACCAGAGTAGCTATTGGTTTGATAAATATAAACGCTGAGGGAGTCAGCTAGAACTTCATCATCTGGGGTACTCCAGTTTGCATAACAGAATCATGATGTGCAGTACTGCTGTCTGCATTATCACAGCTTAGGCAATATAAGACTCTAAGATTTTTTGCCAATGGATCTTTTCAACTCTGCACTTGGAAAAAATATCACTTTTTTGCGTCCTGCATTTTTCATTATAAGTGGATTTATTGGCATTCCTAATATAAAATATTATTATGCCTTTCTGTTTTTTGTTTATATTATTTCTGTCCTGGCAAACACAGCTGTCATGGCCACAATATATTTGGATCACAATCTAAGAACACCGAAATATATTGCAGTTTTCAATCTTGCATTGGTTGATCTGTTAGGTAACTCTGCCATGGTGCCAAAGGTTCTCGATATCTTTTTGTTTAATCACCCTCACATTTCCTATAATGACTGCTTGACATTCCTGTTTTTCTGCTATGTATTCCTTTCGATGCAAGCTCTAAATCTGGTTGCACTGTCATATGACAGAGTTATGGCGATCGTTTACCCACTGCATTATCAACTGAAGGTGACTCAAAAGTTCATGCTCTGTTTAATTGCCTCTTTCTGGGTGTTTGTCATTATTGTTGTACTTATTGCAACTGGCCTTCTTACAAGGCTTTCCCTCTGTGAATCAGTTGTTATTAAAAGCTTTTTTTGTGACCATGGTCAGATATACCGGCTTGCATGCAATGATTATACACCCAGCGATATAACTGCTTGGATTTTGCCAGCTCTTATTCTTTGGATTCCTCTTACAATTGTTTTGTTGAGTTATTTGTGTATAAGCTATGCTTTAGCTAAGGTAGCCACAGTTCGAGAAAGAATGAAGGGCTTTAAAACCTGCACAGCTCATCTTTCATTAGTGGCAATCTATTTCCTCCCAATATTAATCACTCTACGTGCAAACATAGAGCCACATGCCAGAATCATAAACCTGTCTCTGACATCAGTCTTTCCTCCAATGCTGAACCCTATCATATATGTTCTTCAGACACGAGAAATCAAAGAATCTCTGAAAAAGTTAAAGGGAAGAATCACAACACACTACAAAAATAGAAAAGTCAAATTTAAAAAGTAAGAATAAATTTGGCATAAATATTTTTACCCCTTTGTTTATTTAAGGAATGCATATAAAATAAAATAAAAATGTTCAAGTATGTTTAAGTACTTCCAAATAGAACCCAAATTACAAATGTCACACTTCACGGGGCAGTGTGTGATTGATTTGAAAACACATCCTGTAGCAAAGATTTGTGATTTGTAATTTTTTAAGCAACTGTAATTGTTACTGTTAAGACCAACACAGAGAGACATACAGATACTTATTCACAACTATGGGTCAGTTTATGAACGTGAAAGCTTAGGAGTTTATCATAACTAAAATAAAATAAAATAAAGCCTGTTGACAAGTCATGCACAAACAGGGAAAGCATGGAAAGGTGAAAGATTAGATTCAAAGTAGGGACCTTTATGCTGTGAGGTGATAGTGATAACTAATCACATTTATCTTTAGCCAAATGTAAGGGTTGCCTTTCTGAGAAATATGCATTGCAGCATGACATATGCTTGTTTTGTTTTTTTTCAAAGCGAGATTCAGTAAAGCTACTATATAACTACAGAAATACATTTTAATGACTGTTTAAATAGATAATTTTCTGCTATGAGAATATGTCAGGAAGCCTTCCAACTTCTCTTTCTTCCAGATTCTATGTGGATATGGGCCGCCTTTGATTAGAGTTTCAAAGAATGTCCAACCAAAATGTAAATATAATGTAAAGGACTGACTAAACTGGTAGAAACCCAGAAATGTTATTTTTTGTGGCTGAATCATTGTGTAGTGACCCGATTGAGTAAATTCTACTTATAACAATATAATCACATGGTTTGATTACAGAGGGAACACAGGGCTAATAAAAGTGAAAGACCATGTGGTTAAGTTGAGACTATGAGTCGTATTCTTTATATTTATGAGAAAATTCATATTCACTCACTAATAAATTAAAAAACATTGGTGAAAAAAAGTTTAAAAAGCACAGGAGGAATCAGCAGTACTGAACAGGCCAATTGCTATCCGGTAATCAGATTACAATGTAGGGTTTCTGAGTGATTTGCCGTTAGTAGTAGCTATGATGTTAGTTTTCCCGCTAAAGCATAAATCCCCAGTAACAAACCACCCAAAGTGTAAACTCAAAGTGTAGACTCTACACACTGGGTACTCTTCAAGGGGTATAAAAGAAAATCTCACCAGTCTGTACAAGAGCGAGGTCTAACCAAGTGTGTTAGCTCACATACTGTAATATGTAATTTGCTGGTAATAGAATCACAGTCAGTCTTCCAGTAACAAATGACAAAGAAACATATGCAAAGGAAACAATAATCCTGGGAGACTACTTACAGAACAATGCCTAAACATATCAGGTCAATGGACAGAAGGTTGTAACTCATACAAAACACTTGCACTAAGAACACTTGAGTACAACACATGCTGTACTCACTAATTGTACTCACTCTACCTGCTGAATTGAATCATGTTATATGTACTAGTGTCCTTAAAGCTGGATGTGAGTGATAGTGAGCAGGCTCAGGGTCGCTATTGCGGGGATCCAGTATTCTTGGAGTTCTTGGTAAGCTGGTGAAAGTCACCCCACTTCGGGGCTCCATTATCATACTGGGGGACTTTTCTTGGTCAATAACAGTGGGGTGATTGGGAGGAATGTCCTACACCCAGTCTGAACATGAACATACTGTCCATGACAAACAACATGGTTAAATATAAATGTGTCTATACCTGTAAGTGCACATATGCAAGGGTGCCCTAACTAAAAAATAAATAAAAATAAATAAGTAAATGGAAGCGTACAATTATTCATTTTCTGTGCTGCTGTCACTCTCACCTGGATGATACTGGTGGCATAGCGAGAAACATGTTTTAAAAAAATAATAATAATAATTTTCAGTACCCTATACCACCCAGCAATTTCTGCTAAGTCTCATGGTCCTGAGCCTGCCGACTCAGTGTTTTGTGTTTCCTTATGCTTTTGTTGTATGTATTCTGTTGTGAATTGCCATTTGTTAGGTTTCTGTTCTTTGCCTGCCTGCTCCCATTTCTCTGTGTTCCCTCCGTCTGTCCATGGTGTCACACTGTCTGCTTGTGAATCTGCCTGTTTAGTTCTTTGTCTTGTCTGGTTCTGTGTCTGTGAGTTTCCTGTTTTATTGTGAAGGTCTCCGTCTCATGTGAGTGTGTTCAGTTTACGTTTCCCATGTCCTGTCAGCTCTGATTTCTCCCAGCTGTGTTGCCCTCCTGTCTCTCATCCCCCGATTACTGGTGTGTGTATTTAAGCCCTGTGTGTTCTCCTGCCTGTTGCCGGTTTGTCTATGTTACGCCGTGTCAGTCTGCGTTACTCTGTGTTCCTCGGTGTCCTGCTCTTCGTCTGCCTCTCTCTGCCTCTCATCCCTTTGTCGTATGCTCCCATTTCTGTTATTTTAGTTCTCCCACTTTAGGTGTCTTCAGTTATTTTGTCATGCCCCACTGCTCGTTTGCCACTACACCACCTTGTAAATAAACTTCACTAGCATCTTCATCCACTGCTTGCATCTTGGGTCCTCCTTCCTCCACACCACACGGCTCGCCTCCTCAGCCGTGACACTAAGTGAGACTTCCAGTATAACAGTGGAATATGCCACCCGCAGAAATCTTCTGATGACAATAGTGGTTGGGCGCATTAGGGGTGGGAAGGAGTTTGAGTACAGGGAGCTGGTGAGGAAGTTTGTAGAATGGTCCGAAAGAAACACTTATTTCTGAATTTCTGCAAGACAAAAGAGATGGTGGTTGACTTCTGGAGGAAAAAAAACTGTGAGTTGGCCCATCACAACATCTGCTCCACTCCAAACTTCCAAGGCAGTGCACAACATCTATCTATCTTTCCATTCCATTCCAGCCATCCATCCTCTTCTGTTGTGAAGTTTGCGGACGACACTACAGTGGTGGGTCTGATCACCAACGGTGATGAGACGGCTTACAGGGAGGAGGTCAGCGCCCTGACCCACTGGTGTCAAGACAACCATCTCACCCTCAACGTCGCAAAGACAAAGGAGTTGATAGTGGACTTCCGGAGGTGCAGAGAAGTACACACCCCCATCACCATCAACGGCGCTGCTGTGGAGAGAGTGAGCAGCTTCCGGTTCCTTGGTGTACATCTGGCTGAGGATCTTACGTGGTCAGTACACATAAACAAAACAGTGAAGAAGGCGCAGCAGCGCCTCTTCTTTCTCAGGAGACTGAAAAGATTTGGCATGAGCCCCCGCATCCTCAGGACCTTCTATCACTGTGCCATGGAGAGCATCCTCACTGGATGCATCACCACCTGGTATGGCAACAGCACCGCCTACAACCGCAAAGCTCTCCAGCGAGTAGTGCGGTGCTCTGAACGGATAATTGGAGGTGAGCTTCCCTCCCTCCAAGACATCTACAGGAAGCGGTGCCTGAGGAAAGCGGGGAGGATCATCAAGGACTCCAGTCACCCCAGCCATAAACTGTTCAGACTACTTCCATCAGGAAGGAGGTTCTGCAGCATCCGGTCCTGTACCAGCAGACCGAGAGACAGCTTTTTCCATCAGGCCATCAGACTGCTGAACACTTCATAGACACCTCACCTTCACTACTGGAACTTCAACATTATGCACTACATACTGTACAGTAATGCCACTGTTTTGCACATGTCTCACTCTGTATATTTTTATATATTTTATTTATTGACTCTATTTAATTTGTAAAATATGTGTATACACACACACACACACACACACACACACACACACACACACACACACACACACGTAGAAAAACATTTAGTATACACATCCAGAAATTTTTTTTTTTTGCATATACTATTATATATTGTACATATATTTATTAGTTTCAGATGTAGCCATTCTTGTATTTTGCTTGTTTACATTATTGTATTTTGCACAACTCTGTTGCTTGTGAAGCTCGCACACAAGAATTTCACTCGCATGTGCTGTACCAATGTACCTGCACATGTGATGTGACAATAAAAAAAAAAAAAAAGTGAAAAAGTTTCATGAAAAAATACATTACCTTTGATGAGTCTTTTAACACATGTTAGCGTTTACCATTATTGACTGACTTCTATTAACTAAATTTGCTACTTACGAGCTTATTGACACAAAATAACAGTGCCCAACAGCAAGCTTGGCAGGACAGCAAAGCCGGTATTTGATAATCTTAGATTAATGTCAGGAGTAGAAAAAGGGCACACATTTTCACAAAGTACCCTTTCCAGCTTTTTAATTAATCCAAAACAACATGATTTTGAGTTGTATTGTCAGTCTGAGGTTGACCAAAAATTCGGGATAGTAAGATGGCAGTCAGAAAATATTAACCATTATGTAATATTCCTATTAGTTAAATTGTCTGCACAAAGCTGTAACCATATGGTTTGATGTCATAGGGGAATGCCAAGTGACTATAAGGGACAGAACACAAACGTGCTCTGCTTCCATTTGGAGCCAGTCTTAACTAAAGAAGGTTTGCTGAAACATAAAATAAAGGACATTAACTTTAATCTTCAACATTAAAAAAAAAATTATTCAAATGGAATTTTTAAATTCAGCTGTTGGGAAAAACATCACATTTGTGAAACCTGCATATTTCATAATAAGTGCATTTAATGGCATAGCTAATATTAGGTATTACTTTGTCTTTCTGTGCTTTATCTACATTTTTTCAGTGGTGGGAAACACACTACTGATGATTGTCATAATTTTGGATCATACATTGAGAGGTCCAAAACATATTGGAGTTGTGAACTTTGCATTTACAGACCTGTTAAGTAGCTCTGCTTTGATGCCAAAGCTTGTTGACATTTTTCTGTTTAACCATCACCATATCTCCTACAATGACTGCTTGGCATTCATGTTTTTCTGCTTGACTTTTTTTGCAGCACAGGCTTTTAATCTGGTTGTGTTGTCCTTTGACAGAGTCCTGGCTATCATGTACCCGCTGCACTACCAAATGAGAATCAGCCACAAGCTCATTTTATCTTTGATCGCTTTTTT